GTCAATTTTCTTGGCTAACGTTACATAAATGGGAAACTAAGTTGCAGCCTGCCTGCAAGGGCTTCTTACATCCCTACTTACATTCCTCCTTTTCACTCTTACAGTAAAATGCTTTTCTAGAGCTCTTCAGGGCAACTTACACCACACCTCCTAAAACCGTCCACTATCATCAGCCCAAAGTTTCCTTAATGTGATGTAGAATGTCAGAGGATCAATTATTTGATCATTAAAAAATTTTGGTTATCTTACAACGTTTGGACATCTTGAAGGGGCCTCATCCCTCCAAGCTAATTCTTAACATGATTGCTTGTCTTTGAGCTGACCTTCTGCGTGCAAACCAATCCAAAGCCACACCCCGCCCAACGCATTTCACCCTCACACACCAGGCAGCATCCCCCTGCCCTAACTCAAGCAGATTCAGGTTCCGGACAAGTAGGGACACCCTTAATGCCCCAGGGCCTGTTGGAAATATTCAAACTAGCCAATCCTAAACTGTTTCCCCTGCCCCATGTTTCCGTGGAAAACACAACAGAGGCTGTGATTTCCCCACCATCCTGCTCTTCCTCCTGACCAATGCTGGTGTTTCAAGTAGCCCTAGGAGACATGGGGTGTCCCCTCCTCCTGAGAGCTGTAACAGAGCCTTCTTTCAGTGGCATTAATCTCTCTGTCATCTACCAGTAAGTCATCTCTACAAACTGAAATCCCGCGGGCACAGATTAAATAGTGGGGACGCTGTGAGAATTTCAGTGAGTGGAGTGTGAACAGTGCCGAAGAGTCCTGACACAAGGTCAGTGCCCAGGGGACCTGCACTGTGACAGCTTTAACTGCTCCTTTAAAGTGACCCATGGTACAGCACATGCTTTGCATGCATGAGGTCCTGGGTTCAATCCTCAGTACCTCCATTAAAAAAAGGGGAGTGAGGGGGATCCTGCACTGCTCTGGTAAACAGGAAACCCAGTGCCAGTTCCCTTGATGGTGAGTCACCATGAAAAAAGATGCAGAAGTGAAATCAAAACAGTGTTATCAAGTCCTAGAGAGCTCAGCTGCCTGCTGCTCAGTGCAGCTAGCCTGAGGCTACCTCCTCTGTTGAAAAGGGGGAGGGGGTGGAGAATGGAGGAAGAGAAGGTATGTCAAGAATGAGCACTAAATCCAGGCTTTCCATCAAAAACATTCAGGAAGCAAGAAAAAAAATGACAGAGTGGTTACATCAGGGTGTCCGGCTATTGAAGTGTCTCTGCACTCTCTGAAACAGGGTTTCTAGACCTTGCTTTGATTATTTAGGCCAAGATAATTACTTGTTGGGAGGGTGGAGAGGAGCCTGTCCTGTGAATTATAAGGATGTCTAGTTCAATGTCCCCACCAACTAGAAGTTAGTAGCATCCACACCCCATTGTAATAACCAAAACTATCGGAGACGTTGCCAAGTGCCCCCTGGGGACAACATC